GACTTGTGTTTCTTCAATGATCTAGCTAACCAAGTTGCCTTAGTTGAAGAATATCAATATCAATGCTCAATGTAAAGCTAAATGCTCCCTCATAAGCATTTTTGTCTTGCTTATTCTTATCCTACATGAATTTTCCTATTCCATCTCTTAGCAAACAACTTAGAATGGAGCTGGATTGGAGTGGGGAGGAAGGGAGAAAAAGAAGGGAGGAAGGGTCAGAATGTCAAACAGGGCAAAGCCAGAAGTGTCTACGACAACTGTGGCTAACTCACTGCTGCTCAACTCGCTATGGCCAACTCACCACAGCCAACTCAGCGATCTCGCCACAGCCAACTTACTGCAGGACAATCCACGTGGGATAACTCAACAGGATAGATGTTATATGCCACTGTTTCTTCTACATTATTTTTTATTTTTGTCAATGAAAATGATGTCAAGTAAACAGCAGCAGATAATATTTATCACATTGATTTATCCCACATAGAATTGTCCCCCAGAAAGTTGGCCACAGTGAGTTGTCCCATGGTGAATTGTCAGCAGCAAGATGGCCACCGCGAGATTGTTGCACTGGGTTAGCTGCGGTGAATTGGCTGTGACAAGCGGTCTCATTTCAAAGTCACAATGTCAAACTGAATTGGAATATTAGAAATAAGTTTTTGCTGAAAAGCTGAATTATCCCTTAATAATAGGACTAACCACGTCTATGATACAAAAATTCAGACAATAGATAGAATTAATGACTTGAGGGTTTTTTGTTTCTCTTTGTTATCATCTGGGGTTTTGCATCCCTGATATAAAAATAATCCAATCAGAGCTTGCTCATTTGGTTTCACTAAAATGTTTTTAAGTTGTCAAGTTTGAATATGAATATATTCAAAACATTTGCTGCATTTCATTAGGGATATAAAGTAGGTTACATATTTTAAATTATATTTGAAATCATTAAGGCAAATACTGTATTATTTGATCTAGTGTTTACATTTAAAAGTAATCATTTTAATAATTCACAAAAAATGCTTAAAATGAATTCAGTATCTTACAGTACATAATTATGCTCGAATAACTTATCCCTCAACTATGACAGTAAGTCAAAATTTAATTTCCTAATATTGGGTGTGGGGAGTAATAGCTTACATGGCTTGTGCTAACGTGTGCCAGTAATGAAGGGCATTCACTTAAGATGGCTCTATAATTTTGATCCAAGAGTAGTAATTTTAAATTACTCTTCCCCATAAAGTTTGCTTTTGAAGCAATAGCTAGGAAGACAATGTTGAATTGACTGTGATTATTATGGAATTCTCTATTCCATCCAACCCCAAATAGATATTTTGCCTCTTTACAAAATCCTTTCCTTTCCATTCTTCTGCAGTACACAGGAGATTCAGAAAATGTTACATTTCTTTATTAGAAAAAAAACAGCATATTTCTAGATGTTTTAAAATGAAGCACTGGTTACAAGAAAAGAATATCCCCGGAAAGGTCCAGATAATTTCATTTGTTTCTTTTGTATGCAAGTTGGAAGCCCATGATTTGGGACCTCAGCAAAAACTCATCACACAATACACTTTTTGTAGGGTGGTTGCAGTGATGGGAAGGGAGAAGCAATCACAAAATGACCTTTTCTACATAGTTAGCAGGATACAGTCCAACCTGACCAGTCTGAAGCCGGCCTTTGCACCATCCCTGTTCATCCTCTTCACTGATTTTCATAAGCTCTTCTCCTGCAAAAAGACAAAACATCAGCAACAGATACCTCTTTTCGGCTGCTCTGATAGTCACATGTATAGGAGTGTATGTGAGCAGGTAAACCCTCAGCCTAACTGCATGCACACAGGAAGCCCCAAAGAAGTGGTGGGGGGGAATGAAGATGAAATAGGTGGTGAACCAGATGCTGCTGCAAGAATTATGTATCTACTTCTGTCAACAGCCCAAAGGAAAAGGACCTTGAGCAGAAAATAAAGAAAACATAAGTTGGTGATCCTTGATCCTTCGGGGCTCTGACTGCCAAATGCCCACATTTTCCCCAAGTCAATCTGTCTCCAAATATGCCAGCACTTGCTTGATTCTTTTCACATAAACAACTTAGTCATCCTCTCTCCACATCGCTTTGTTCAGGTTTAAGCCCTTATAGTACCCAATGTGGAATGGCCAGGACTTTAATGTTCTGCCATTTTTGTTTTCCTAGCCAGCACAAAAGTAGCTGTCACTTTCTGAATTACTGACTACCATTTACTACTACTACTACTTTACTACTGCTATTTCTTTACCAGAGCACATCATCACTGATAGGTTGAGGGACCTTACCTAATTTTGCCTATACAATACAATACAATAGCAGAGTTGGAAGGGACCTTGGAGGTCTTCTAGTTCAACCTCCTGCCTAGACAGGAAACTCTATACCGTTTCAGACAAATGACTGTCCAACATCTTCTTAAAGACTTCCAGTGTTGGGGCATTCACAACTTCTGGAGGCAAGCTGTTCCACTGATTAATTGTTCTGTCAGGAAATTTCTCCTCAGTTCTAGGTTGCTTCTCTCCTTGATTAGTTTCCACCCATGATATGAAGGGTAGGGAGAGCTAGTTTAAATTATTTAATATATAAGTTGCTTCCCAAATCATTCTGGGAGGCTTCCAACTCTGCCTCTTTGCTCTATATACTTAGAAACAAGACATGAATGCTGTAGAGCAAATACAAATAGGTGAATTGTTATGTGGTTTGCAAGCAAATTGTCAACTAAGCTCTGAAGGAACTTTTAAGAAAACCAACTGCTTCCTTTCTGTCTTTTCCCACTGTAGAAAAGGGATGTAAAACAGAACACTGAAGTTATATAGGCAGAATTTGGAATGCCGAAGTGATGACCAAAAAAAGGCAGGATTCAGTTTCTTATAGCAGCCTCATGCTACAAGGAATATATATCATATCATGTTATCACAGACACATCAAGCCAAAATAAATTAGTATTACAACAAATGAGCAGTTCATATATAGGATTCATGCAGTTCCAGTTTTCAGCTTGAAAAAAGTTAATATAAAAAGAAGGGGACAAGCACATAACAGCAAAATAAAGCTTCAAATAAAGCAGAAATACAATATTTCTAACATCCAGATGGCCCCAACGGAGACACTCTTCAGTCTGCCCTGATATAAAAAGGCTGGCACTTATTCCTGAATGGGACCTTATCATTAAAACCACAGGAATCTGATTAAGCATAGAGACTTTTGGCTTCAACAGTATGACAAGGCTGTGGCCCTGGTGGAATGGTACTGTAACCTTTCCATTGCATTACTCATAACCACTCAGGAATGCAAAGAAGCAAAAGTGGGATAACGTTTAGCTTATCTTGTCTCTGAGCACAACAATGGCTGTCTCTGCTTTGGGTGAAGCACATAATCCTATACACTGCAGTTATATCAATGGGTACTCATTTCCAGGCATTGCCAGCTGCTGTTCAAAGATGCTTGTGTGCAATTTTTCAAGTGGGCAACAGACCTGAGCTTTTATTTCTCTATTTCTATTTATCCTGCTATGAGCAAGAGAACATTCTCGAATAACACAGAAACACAGGTCATTTGGCATCAATACTAAAAGGGACACAAGAGCTGACATGGCCCAGCCATATATAGGATGCCTCAGGAATAACAATAATTGTTTAAGATGAGAGGCCCTTGGTGCTCTCTGAGCTTGCCTGTTTTCTTCCAGACATTTCATTACCCTAATTAGGTAGCATCATCAGTGCTAGAGTAGCACTGATGATGTTACCTACTTAGGATAATGAAACATCTGCAACAAATAATAAAGCTCAGAGGGCACCATTTCATCCCTGAGCTACAAATATTCTCCTTTAATTGTTTAAGATGTCTTTAAAACAAGCCTATTTTGAGAGAACCTGAAAATGACATTTATTCAAATTGTGTATCACCTATCTTTTCTAGCAATGTAAACTGTTTTAATTTTAATGTCTTTCCTCCCCAATTTCTAAGCAAACTCCTACGGTTCAACCCCCACCCTCCCCGTGTCCAATTATAAGAGTCTTAGGGCCATCTAGATCTTCCTTGGAGTGAACTGTCATCCAGCAGCCCCAAACACAATGGAAAGCATGTTAGAAGGTTAATGCATCTGTACCTGCTTTAAAGCTCAGTTCATCAGCCTCTTGTCCTGCGTAATCATACAGTGCTCGCACTCGCACACCTGGTACCTTTATATCTTCCTCATGCCCATTGACTTCCAGGCACTTCTTGGGAGTATCCTCATCTGACCACTCTGAGATTTCTTCTTTCCCTCCACTGTGCAAAGAAAGGGAGAGAAGGTAAAATGAGTAGGAAACAACAAGGCAATTTAAAATTCACTTTTAAAAAGTGCCTCTCCCCAGATCATGCAGTGTTCTAGAATGAGAATAAAGAGGCAGACATCACAAGATGAAAGGCAGAGATACCATGGAAGTTACTAAAGTAGAGAAGAGAATGGCAGATCATCAGCAACAGCTCCTTTCAACTAACCGTGACCAATTTTGAAAATTATAGTGTCATGCTTTCCTATTTGTATACTCCCCTCATTTGTTGGGAATACAGCTCCCAGAATTTTTAGTAAGCATTGTAATGCCTACGCATCTACGCTTTAACTGGAGGGCAACTACATAATTGTTGAGATGGTGGACATCCTCATTTGCAAGAAAGAAGAGTGTGCATCGTGCTCAACTTCTTAACTACAAAGCTGCAGCAGGAAAAAAAAGTGAGACAGGGATCCTCAAAAGTCTTAGTTTCATACTAACTTCATACAGGCTGAAGCTCTCAGGTTGTCATAGAAGTGGCTGTTTTGATCCTCTCGATGTGAAAACCTGTGGATTTGCAAACAAGCCCTTTAAACTGGAAAGGAGATAAAACCATGCCATAATCCTCATCTTCCAGGAATAGGCAGTTAAGAAAGCAGATTTTGGTACAGGAGTACCAGACAGAAGTACACAATCTTTTCTAAGGACTGTATGTAAAATTGTATCAACGCTCAGTTTTGTAAATATGTATCAGTAGCGTGCTTGGTGTTATTCTTTGATCAAATTTTGGATGTACAGAATCCAACTGTGACTCTAGAATCTCTATCACCTATCAACTTCAGTGTTTGTTTGGTTGTCTTCTCTATATAAAATGAACTGTTCCAAGAAAAGAACAATCTAAGAATCCAGTGCTACTGATGCTCAGTTGGAAAAAGTTTTCTTCCTTAGATTCAGCAATAGGTCTAGAATCTTCATTCACAGAGACCATCTTAAGAGATTTTCATTCTTCCAACTCATCAAGCAAGACAAAGGCATTGCATGCAAATTCACCCTTCTTCTATTAGTTCGACCGTTGCTTTATAGTCTTGCTGAACTGAAACCCACCATCTTTCATTGCTGGTAATTCTTAAGAGTAACAGGTTCCATATTACCCTGTTTCCCTGAAAATAAGACCTTCCCGGATAATAAGCCCAATCGGGCTTTTGAGAGCATGTGCTAAAATTAGCCCTCCTTTTAAAATATTGCAACACAGCAGCAGCCATTAGGTGACCATGCTCATCGCCTCCTGCACCTCAAAAATAATAAGACCTCCCCAAAAATAAGGCCAAGTACTTATTCCAGGGTTCAAAAGAAAATGAGACACTGTCTTATTTTCGGGGAAACATGGTACTATGCTGGACTAAGAATTTACTGCAACATTGGTGAGGAAATGGCCTTGGAAAATATGGATTCAATTAAGGAGGATTAAAAAAAATATAAGCTGCTAAAAATGATGGATGCATTTTTACGTATCTCTCCTTCTGAGAAATAAATGATATTGAGTTCCCGGCTCAAGAGTTGCAACAACTGCAATTGTTACCTCTGTTTGGTTGTTGGAGGGGTCTCTTTCATACCATCTCCTGCAGGCACAATGCTGGTCAGAGTGACATCTTCACCACTTTTGCTACTTTTCTCCTTCTTGACAATTGCCTGCTGTGCTTCCAGAGACCATTCCTGGCAAAGGGGAAGAGTAGTACCTGAATGCTTTCTGAATATTGAACATTATTTGACTACAGTACTTCCCCAATTCATAGCTTCTTGGCCCTCTTGCCTGTCCCCCATCCCCAAAAGAGAGACGGGTCAAAGAAAATATGGCATGCTGACTTTTGTGTGTAACGTAATCTTTTTCCTCCCTTTGGAATAAACTTAGAATATAGTGGTTTCATATCCACATCAGAGGGAACTTCAAATAAAGTGCTATGTTTTATGGGGACAGGGAGGGATTGCTGCTTATTCAGAAGCATCTGCCTTGAATGAAAATGTCTCACGT